AATTAAGGAAATATTATTAGGTTCAAGGACAGACCTGCATGCTCTAAAAATATCGTAACCTTTCCCTCGTAATTTTAGAAGTTACAGGGGAAAAATGACGGTAGGCAACTGCGGGGTGTGTTTGTATGTCAGTAGAAAGGGACGGCACTAGTCAGACACTGTGTACCAGTTCCCTCGCTGTTATTTATAACCGTGCACGTCGATCTCGCGACTCGACACGCCGTTGAAAGTTTGATAAACCCGGTCATAATTTATCAACGCGTTGAACATGATTATTTTCGTTGTATCCTCTAAAAAACAAAAAACTTTCTCCCTCGACTCTCTCTTATTCTATCTAGATCGCTGTCGACGACCATTAATTACGTACATCGCGATCCTTACGTTCGTAAACCTTGTTCGTAAATTGAAACGCCGGATCGTTGATCGAGGAGGCGGGAAGCTCTAAGATGCATCGTGAGTAAGGTCCTTTGATCGAAGCATCTCGAAAGGTTGGCTACCTTAGCCTCAGGTATCGAGACAGTAATTGACACCACTTTCACGGCTAAACCGCTTTCCAATTTTCTCCTTATTTTCACGACGTAATAACTTACCGAGCTTGACGGAGTTTAGTTCGCCGTGGAGGGGAAGCGCGGCGGTTGCTTCCATAGCACAGCCAGTAATGGCTACGTATATATAGACACTTCTTTACAAGGCGGTGAGATAAGCTCTCATTGGCGACCGAAGCGTAATCACTACGGCTTCCTGAAATAGCCTGAACATTCGCCCCTTCACCCCTTTCGATCTTGCCATTTCCCTTTCCTGGGATCCTTGGCAGAGGAAGCATGAACGACGTCGAAGGGTTCCTCGTAAACATGCCACGCTGTCATTGATGAGTCCTCATCGACTTTCGATCTTCCATCGTGGCAGTATAACGCAATTTTTTCGACAATCGAGAGGTTGAATTTTTCAAAAATTTTCTCTCTATGCAAAGTTAAAATCTTCAAAGATGAAATTGCAAGCAAATTGTGCGAAATAAAATCTCGGAGGAGTTTTTGATACCTCTGTTGTAATATTACAATTGAATTTCATGTGAATCCTTTTGTTAGGATTTCATCGAACAATTTTTTCCACAGCATCAGGGTACGAAATGATAGCTGCAAAGGACTGTATATCTTCGTAATATTCCTCGAATAGCTTAATGCCAAACAGCATGTTGGTTATCGAAGGCAATTATCATTTGTCCTCGCAGCCTTAACGCAATGGTCCCCACGTGACAAAACGAGCCCATTTCCTCCACTTACAAACATTTGTCCGGCCGTAGAATCGATTCTTTCCTCTCTGTACACAGCCGGGGCATAATTGGATCGGCCGGTTCGTTGCACGTCCGTAACCAATACGAGATAATACCGTGGAAAGGAGGAGGAGCGGCAACTATACCCGAGATAATCAGATTCCTCGATTATTACCGATAAATCACGATCGATACGTATTAACGTCCGGTGCAGCAGCATCAAGTGCGAATAAATATTGGAAAGAGACAATTCCCATATCGTGACACTTTTCGAACGCGCATCGATCATCGATCGTGCCGAGATATTTTTCGACGAAAAAAAAACACACACACACAAGCCGGCATATGCAATTTCGTCCATACGAATCGACGTTCTTTTATTGACAGAGGGACCCTGTGGAAATCGTTGGTCGGGGATTTTACACGATGTCGGAGGGGGAAAGTTTGCACGGTTTGTTAATCGATAATCAGCCCGGCAGGCAGTTTCGTTTAAAAGATCGCAGCCACGGCGTTGTATTATTAACTGACGATGGTCAGAAACGTGGCTGCATATTGCATACACTTTCTGTTGGCTGTTTCATGAAGTGTACTCGAAAATTCCGCCCTGCTACCGACCAGTTTACATATTAACGCGCGCTTGCTGCCACTGTGTATCGACGGAATCTACTTTTATTAGGCCCTCGCTGCCGCGTACGTACACTTGGATCAGCCGTAAAACGTTCGTACAACACGACAGCAGTCGGTGTTGGTGAATTTGTTTCCACCTTCCTCTCCATTTCGAATTGATCATCGAACGTTACCGGGCTTCAAACCGTGTAGCTGCGTAATTGTTCGAATCTCAGACACACACAGGAGAAGTGTCTAATTGAACGTTGATCGAAACTAAGATAGATCGTCCAGATGATCCAGATAATGTAGACAACGTAGGCTATCTAAATTTTCACGTTATTTACCTCTCCACGAGAAAGGAAGACGATGCACCGGAGGTTAGAGGATCCATCGAGGTTGGAAAATGTGTCTACTGTTGGCTCGAATCGACGACGTTTTGATTTATGGCTGCAAAATGGAAATCTCGCGTTAGGTCGAGTCCCATGGGAGAACCGGGTTTTTGGGCTATCGAACGGATATACGATCCTTTTTTCACCTTTTTCTGTTCGCGGTTCGACGAATGACAGGGTGAAAAAATCTTAATGATCGATGATCGTATATTCTCGCAGGGTCACCTCTTTCTAGCCTCGCGCCAGGCTACGCACCTGCCATAAATCGTGCGAAATAACAGTAATACATCCGTCTAATGCTAATTCCACCGACGAAAGAAGAAACGACGTATTGTAGGAGATAGAAGAAAAGGGACATTAAGCGAACGAACCGCGATCAGATCGCGAGGACGTGACTTATCGCGCCCACGAACGGAAACTAACGGTGTCATAAGCGGACATGTTGGTCCAAGGAAAGCATATTTCCCGGTGAGCAAAGGAACGCGATAACAGAATCCAATTAGGCGACACTTGGTCGTGCAACGTTGGCTGATGGAGGCCTCGGTTGAAAAAGAAAAAAGGGAGAGGCCGCCTTGTTAAAAGTCGGCTGCTTTTGCCTACTAGGGCTACTTCTTGAACTTTCACCCCCTTTCCGCGAGAAAAACTAGCGAGTTCGTGTCCGCTGACGAGAAGCAAA